TTTCTTTTCATTTCTAAATAATTTTGGGATTTATTCTAATGTTCATAATTTTTTTGATAATTGTAAAAAAAATTATTTTTTTCTATAATTTCCATAATCATAATTTCTTCTATATATGATAGTGATAGTTTGTCAACAATTTTAGGACATATTTTTCTTTATATTTACAACTAAATTACACGTCATGAGACATTTTGTTGCCTTAATTCGCTTAAATTCCCCTCTTATTATATTTTTGTTCTAATAGTAAAATTTTGTTTGAGAAATTATTTTGTTTGTAGCCTAGAATCGTTTCAGTCAATCATATAAACCGCCGTTCAAAGTATTAAGGCGCATCCCCTTTACCGTGTTAAATATATGCATATAATAATGGCCTCTAGATCGACTAGAAATCCGACAAAAATCATGTTTTCGGTTTATTGCACTCCGGAAATATCATCTCAACATCACCGAAAATTATAGGCGTCGTCCTTAACCATGACCCATGTAAAACTTCACATTTACATATTTACGTACATAACTGAGTACATACAAAAATATAATTCGTATCAACAACTAATCTAGGATATACGATCAGGTCTATGCCCTTCAGGAGAATTTTTGAATTTTGTTCACTCGAAAATCTGGGTAAAGTCATGGTTATTCATTGGCCACACTCTCTTCCTGGTGGTGTTCGGGTTATAATTGTGGCCTCTAGAGCGACCATAAAAAAGGAAACAAATGATCCTTTAATATTTGGGATATGAAATGGACTAGAAACATTTCATCCCCTAAATATTAAAATAAAATTAACAAAAATAGTGGAGATCTTCTTTGGATAGAACTTATCGTACTTGCAAAATTTCGTAACTATTGTTCCATAACTGCCGGCCTGCATCGTGTTCACAAATTATAATGGGCAGACGGACGGACTCACATTTTTTACATTGACTCAGCTATTCGAGATATGACCATTGGTATACTTAAAGGTGGGACCAGGACCAACATTTCGAGGCGTTACAAAGTTACAATACCCTGGCAATATATGGTATAAAAAGCAGTTTCGATTTTGATTAGTTTTCAAAAAAAAAAAAAAATTAATAAATAAAAATAATACAAAGTTCTTTGATCGTAAAAATACGAAAATCTGATCATCCGCTTTCGAGACACATTAGCATTCCAACAAAAACTCTATTACTACATAACCCATTAGAGAACTTAGACTCATTTATGCCATAAATGTACTTATGAAGGAAATAGTCCCACTTTCCCAAGCGAAGTAGCTGTAACTTGACACTCCAAATTCTTGGAGATCTTCGAAGGCGATAAGGTGTTTGAAAATAAAACGGTTGCTATCCGATCGGTGCACAAGGAAGAAATTCGAAAAGGCGTTCAAGTGCAGACTAATCATTGTGAACCTTGACAATGGGAACATTCACACATAAGCCCCTCTTTGACCAGCGAAAACAGTGATGGGTCATTATGATGACGTTCCTAACGTGGCATCCAATGAAAAAGCGTTTTGAACCAAATGGTCGCTAGGTTGTATATGCACTGGAAATATTAAATACATAATTACAGGTACTCAGTTTGGAGCACTGAGCTATGATTACCAAGGTACCGAACATTAAGCGGAGCGTTTGCATAGAGGGCCATTAAAACAAGGACTAGTATTGAAAAGTTGAATTTTTAAATCACCAGTAATATGAAATTCCGAAGTATAAGGCGGTAGCTTTTTATGGGAGCTATACCGACATAGCTTGCAAAATTGTTTCCCAACTTCCCAGAATTCTTAATTAAAGGCACTTCCGTTGAAAAATACTACCCGAATTTTACTTCAAAATGCAGAACATACAGATATGTTCGATACATTAACCTGTATCGAACATTTTCTATAAATAACCACACATTTTAGACACTTTTGTGAAAACATTTGAAAGAGCACAGACATATATTACAAATTTTATGATAAAATTATTTTCACGGTGAAAGCCAAATCTAAGCGTTGGCAAACTGCGTTTACATCTTCAAAATACCGAAAATGGGGAGAAACCTTGTCAAATCGCGGACCTTTATTGATAATTTTCTGCATAGATAGCCAAACACTTCCAAAAAACCTGGAGTATCAAAATACAGTTACACATACAGAAAAGGTGTCAGGATCTTTATATGGGGGCATGTAAAAACATAGAAATATATCGAAGTTATCTGTAACAGTTTTTTACCAGGAATGCCAATTTACATCCACTTCGATGGAAGTTACAACAAAACATGTATTTATGCCCAAAACTCTCTGCAAAGATACTGTTCTTCAACCATCAGAAATACCATCACCGTAAAAGCCAAATCTAACCGGAATGCCAACAGCGGTTTAAACGTTTAAAATACCAAAAATGGGGGGAAACTTTGTCAAATCGTGGACCTATATTGAGAATTTTCTGCATAGATAGCCAAAGCTTCCAAAACCCCGAGTATCAAGTTACAGTTAGTTCCACATACAGAGGACCTTTATTTTGGGACATGTAAAAACATACAAATATATCGAAACTTATCTGCAACATTTTTTTTACCAAGAATGCCAATTTACATACACTTCGATGGAAGTTACATCAAAACATGTATTTATACTGAAAACTCTCTGCAAAGATGCTGTTCAACCATCAGAAATACGGTTGGAGCCCTCATGTATAAGCCCCATCCGATTTGATATGATTTTAGAAGCAATATCAAATAGGGCGGGGCTTTTAAATGAGGGAACGGAAGTAAGCAAAGCCGTATCATGAGACAAAACCGACTCTATGATACCCTAGATCTAGAGTAAAAATATACCCCAAAGAATTAACATTTTGTAATTATCCTACGAAAAACTCTGTGTCAGATGAACCGCTAAATGGTGACCGATCATCATCAAAACAGTCATGAATTTTCATTAGACAGATCAGTTTGTCATGTGTTCCTTTTAACATCCTGATGTTAAAGGTCAAACGAGAAGCAAATGTAAACAAAAATGGCACTCTGTACACCAAACAACACATGTTACTCGCCTACGCCGATGACATCGACATAATAGGTCGAACACTAAGAGTGGTAACAGCCAGTTTAAACAAATTGAAAAGGAGTCTGCCAAAGTGGGTCTGGCAGTAAACGGCGAAAAGACCAAGCTGATGGTATAAACGCGAAAGACGTCCAGTAGACTCGGACCAACTGTGGAACTTGAGAATTACAGCTTCGAGGTAGTTAAAGATTTTATATACCGTGGTACGGCCATAAATAAAATGAATGACATCAGTTTTGAAATTCGCAGAAGGATTGTGATGGCCAACAAATGGTCTATGTAAGCAGTTTAGAAACAAGACCACCTCCCGCCAGACCAAACTCAAACTTTACAAGACGCTGATACTACTCGTACTATTATATGGATCTGAAGCATCTACTTGCGCAAGTACCCATGCTATGTATTATCGATCAATGTCAACAACTTTATGTAAGAATTAACAGACGGAATCGAAAAATAAAACTATGTGTCAGATGAACCGATAAATGGTGACCAATCATCATCAAGGCATGGTGATCCCCTTGGTCTAAGTAAGCAGTTTAGAAACAAGACCACCTCCCGCCAGACCAAACTCAAACTTTACAAGACGTTGATACTACTCGTGCTATTATATGGATCTGAAGCATCTGCTTGCGCAAGTAACCATGCTATGTATTATCGATCATTGTCAAAAACTTTATGTAAGAATTAACAGACGGAATCGAAAAATAAAACTATGTGTCAGATGAACCGCTAAATGTTGGCCGATCATCATCAAGGCATGATGATCCCCTTCCCCGTGTAAAATCCGGCTATGTTTGGAACAAAATTCTGAACCCTATGTATTATCGATTATTGTCAAAAACTTTATGTAAGAATTAACAGACGGAATCGAAGAAAAAAATTGTGGACGTTGGAGTCTAGTCACAACTCCGCAGTCATGATTGTACAAGATCATTAAACAGTTGTTATACCCCTACATTTCAGCACTTAGTACAACATATGTGGCAAAATGTCCCTACTATTTTAACATTTCATATTAAAACTCTTTGAATTTATTGAAATAATCCCAAATCAAAGGCTACACACAAAATAATTTCATTTCAACAAATTCATGTTTTTTTTATTCAAGGTACTCTCTTTTTTACTTACACTTGTAATCCACTGCAATAGAAAAACACAAGGTTACCTTTGGTGGTCATTACCATTACTATAACTACACAATAAAAATATTATTCCCTAAATATTAACTACAGCTGTAAAAATTAATGTATTACTCTTTTTCTCTACCATTCTCTGTCTGAGCATGAGAAAAAAAATTATAATATTTATTATTCCCCCGCACAATGTACACAGCCATGGAACCTTATGTTTTCCTTTGCTCATGCATACAATTTATTTATTTTTCTTACTTGTCTTATTCTTCGTCTTCTTTGACTTTGTTGTGTTAATTAATTTCATAATTTTTTCCCTCATACTTCGTTTATACAATTTTTCATTTAGTTTTATTTCTCTTTCTCTCTTTTCATGGCACTGGCACTTAATGACCAAGGTAAAAAAGTAAGCGAAACAAAAATATTTGACTTTATCCTCTTTCGTTTTTTTTAACCTACGTACTTACATGCATTTTGCACAAAATTAATTTGTTTTGTAAATATTTTTTTTTCATTTTTGTTGTATTTTTTGTTTAATAATTTATCCTTCTACTCGGTGGTCATATATCGGAGTATGACTACATAGCCCACCACCATTTGCCATCCTTGCCCACTATTACCCATGGGTAATCGGGGGATGTTGGCCAGTCTGCTTACTTTGCTGTGATATTTTGGTTGGTTACGGTTGGGTCCATTCATCTTTTACGAAAATATACATTTACAAATTTAATTATTATTGGCTTGGGATTTTATTTTCTGTGTGTGTGTGTGTGGGGGGGCTGGGAGGATATTTGGTGGCCTGAATTTGTTGTCTGTGTGTTTTTACCATGACTTTAATGTCGTAGTAGTGTCGTCCGCCACAGCATAAAGATGATTGCCAAACACAGCTGCATCCATAGACTGTGCTGGAACATTTGAGAACTGTATCTGCTGTGTGTAGATGTCGCCGATGATGGTGTCACTCCATTGCCCAGTGCGGCCATGCCTATACTTTGTGTTGTTGTCGAAAACGTTGTCGTCTCCAAACGTTGAACATCAACTGTAATAATGAATGAGCGACAATGAGAGACAAACAAGAGTTTGTTTATATACAATTGCATAATATAATAATTTGTCTGCACAGATTGACAGTTAAACTTATTATCGAAAATGTAAATATGTTTTAAAATTATTTTTTAAAACGAAGGAAATTGCATGTGGGAAATTTTTGATAAAAAAAAAAAAATGAAAAAAAAACCGAGGAAGGAAAAACACAACAAATAACAAGTGAAACCTGTAAGGAAAGTAGTAAAGTCGGACGGGGCCGACTATATGATACCCTTCACCACTATGGGTATTTTAAACAGGGCTATTATCATGAAATTGTATGAAATAAAATATGTGATATTTATCTAAATGTGAAACGACCTAGATATATCCATAAACATGTCATTCGTTTGTTACAATGGGACAAAAGTATGTAAATCGACTTCAAACAAATATCCGTTGTCATCTGTTGGGCTATGTCTGTACTTCTAAAAAACGCAACTAAGTTATTCTATGCTCAATTTTGTACGTTGTACAAAATTTGATGTCAATCTGACAAACATAAGGAGTTTGATGCACAATTTACTTAAAATCGGACGAAAATATTTATGGAAGTTATATCCAAATATGGACCGATTTCAACGAAATTTATCCCAGTTTAGGTTCAACTTATTTCTGTACTTCTAAAAAACGCAACTACGTTATTCTATACTCAATTTTGTACAATTGCAAAATTTGATGTCAGTGTGACAAACATGAGGAGTTTGATGCACAATTTACTTAAAATCGGACGAAAATATTTATGGAAGTTATATCCAAATATGGACCGATTTCAACGAAATTTATCCCAGTTTAGGTTCAACTTATTTCAGTACGTTTTGTTCCTATCAGACATATATTGGTTCGTTGGTGCGTCAATAACTTAAAATCAATCGATAAAATATAAGGTAGCTATATCTAAATATCAACAGATTTCACGAAACTTAACACACATCATTCTGACTTAAATTCAGTACGCTATGCAACATATGAACTTTGTACATTATACCAAATTTCGTGGAAATCGAAAATATATGAAGACTTTAGTGCACCATTTACATGAAATTGGACGAAACTATTATTGGGAGCTATATCTAGATCTGAACCGATTTTCACGAAACTTAACACACATCATTCTAGACTTAATTCAGTACACTATACAAAATTTTGTGCAAATCGAAAGATATATAGCGACTTTGGTGCACCATTTACAGGAAATCGGACGAAACTATATATGGGAGCTATATCTAAAACTGCACCGATTTTCACGAAACTTGGCAGACATCACTCTAGGCTCAATTTAGTACGTTGTACCAAATTTCGTGAAAATCGAAAGATATATAGGGACTTTGATGCACTTTACATGAAATCGGACGAAACAATATATGGGAGCTATATCTAAATCTGGACCAATTTTCACGATACTTGGCAGACATCAGTCTAGGCTCAGTTCAGAACGTTATCCCAAAGTTCGTGCAAATCGCAAGATATATAGGGACTTTGGTGTACCATTTACATGAAATCCGACGAAACTATATATGGGAGCTATATCTAGATCTGAACCGATTTTCACGAAACTTGCCAGACATCACTCGAGGCTCAATTCAGTACGTTATACAAAATTTCGTGGAAATCGAAGTATATATAGGGATTTTGGTGCACCATTTACATTAAATCGGACGAAAATATATGGGAGCTATATCTAAATCTAAACCGATTTTTCCCAATTTCAAAGGGGTTCGTCCTTGAGCCAAACAATTGAGCTGTGCCAAATTTCATCCAAATCGGATTATAAATGCGAACTGTACTTTGTGTACAATTTAACACCAACAGACGGACGGACGGACATGCATAAATCGACTTAAAAAGTGATTCTATGCATATTCTCAAAAGGAGCTATGGGTATATCTCGTTTCCTTTCGCCTGATACAAACCTATGCACAAAGACATAATACCCTGTACCACAGTGTGGTGAAGGGTATAAAAAAGTGTTATGTTAGGCCTGACCGAACTTTGGATACCCGCCATCATAGATATACTGAAAGGTACTTGAAATGAAAATATAGGGAACATACTAAAAAGTGAACCTATACCGACAATTCTACAAACCGATTTATGTAAACCATTATGTACACCAAATACAAATTTCAGCGATTTTTAAGGAGAATTCTTCCTAAAATCTGAAAAGCCCAAAACCTGGACAGATGCTGATAATGCAAGGTAGAGTGGAACATGTGTGTAAAATCCTCAAACTACTGCAATTAAGAGTGCAAAGTTATATCAGACTAAAAGGCGTCATCATTATATGAGGGACTATGGTTAATGAATGGTCGATATAGCTCAAAATCGAAACCAATATTTTAGTTTTGTATCTCAATATTTTCCTACAGGAGGTATCGTTACATGGGGGAGATGCCCAAATGATGGCCGATATATTTCATTATCGTCAGGTTCCAGTTTTTTTTACACCCTTCACCACACTGTGGTACAGGGTATTATGTCTTTGTGCATATATTTGTATATATCTATGATGGCGGGTGCATATATTTGTATATATCTATGATGGCGGGTATCCAAAGTTCGGTCAGGCCTAACATAGCACTTTTTTATACCCTTCACCACACTGTGGTACAGGGTATTATGTCTTTGTGCATATATTTGTAACAGGCAAAAGGAAACGAGATATACACATAGTTCCTTTCGAGAATATGCATACAGCCACTTTCTACCGAAAAAAAACCGAAAATTAGAGGGTACCCTTATATGGCGGCTACCCGAAGAAATTGATTTATATTTATATTTTTTGTGGGGAGACTTGCTACCCAATAAGAACTCGAAGTACTAAATTACAGCCAAACTCAAAACCCCCAAAATACTGAAAAAAGGGGTACCATTATATGGGGGCTACCAGAAAAAATGGACCTATATTTATAATTGTTAGTGGTGGGATTTAGTACATAATAATAACCCAATGTACCAAAATTTAGCGAATTGAGTTGAAAAACGAAAATTGGGTGGTACCCTTATATTTTTTACGCTGATTAAGAATATATACACCTTATATGGTCGGAAATGATTATTTCGGTGAGTTACAAACGAAAAAAACACACTATGGTGGAGGGTATAAAAAGGGGTTTATATGGAGACTACCCCTAAAAAGGGGCGAATATTAATAATTTTTTGATAGGAAGATTTGTTACCATATACGACTACAAAATACCAAATTACAGCAAATTTTGTTGAAAAACGCGCTTAAGAACCCCAAAATACGGAAAATTTGAAGGTACCCTTATATGGGGGCTACCCGAAAAAATTAACCTTTATTTATAATTTTTTGTGCAGAGATTTGCTTCTCAATAGGAACTCAAAGTACTACATTACAGCCAACACAGCCGAAAAATACGCTTTTTCGGTTCAAAAATGAGTCACCGATGTTAGTAGACAGACATTTGCTATTCTAATCATCCTGGGATAAATAGCAACGTCAGTGCCAAATTTCAAAGCTCGAATTTAAATATTGGGATCTTTATCGTAATTTCAACCTCGATGTAACATTTTATTCTGATAAAGAATATATCGATTTAATGGGGTCTCCGACGAATCTTTCGAGGTGTTTGCAAACGAATGACAAGATTATGGAGCCCAAAATAAGTACGGACAGGACTAAAGTATAGACCCGACTAGAAGGTACCCTACATCATTTTTGGTATATACAAGACATGTTTCTAAGAATCTTCTATAAATCTAATGCATATCTTTACATAAACTGGCCTCAATCAATCTTTACACACGACATTCGGTTGTCTATGCAAAATATCATGTCAATCGAGCAGGTATTTAGACCATTGGTACACCTAAGTTCTGTATGTGTCTGCGATGTACTATTTACAGAAAGTCCTTAAAAATTATATATCTTTGATATTTTCTAAATCGGATCAGATTTGCAGAGTGAGGCATATGTCCTTCATTCTATACACACTTCGGTTTGATGTGCAAAATTTCGTGTCAATCGAACAAGCATGGGATCAATTGTACTTCGTTAAAACTATAACGTGACAATTATTTCGCTTGAGGAAGGTAAACCTTGATTAGTACATCATAATTTGTTTGCCTAAAGTCATGACAATGCGATCTCTTAAAAAACGACTCAAGCCGGCTCCTTTTTGCCCCATTGCAAACGACATCGGACTTACATCCCGGACTTGGCTTCCAAGACTTCTATTTATTTCCGCACATTGGGGAAAAATTCGTGGTGAAGGATTTTTGTCGCCAGAAAATGCAACTGAAACGTTAAAAACTAGTTCTGGAGATGTCTCAATCGGAGTAGACAATATGCTCGATGTGCACACATTCCACTCTGTCTCCCGAGGAAATTTTATTTGTCAATCCGACAGACTTAGGAACTTTAATGGATCATTAACATTAAAATGGAGTGTTATTTGAAACCTAGCTTTTCTGCAATCACCAATAAAATCTCAATTCGATGGCCTGTGCAGAATCTCGTGTTAAGCGGACAGACGTAGGTTTCAATGTACATAATTTGCATGAAATCGGACGAAATCATTAAATTTAAAACTGTTGCTTAAAACTTTCTCAAAAACCATATTTTCATTCATTCTCACTCCACATGGCATCCTTCACTTACCCTTTATACTGTATGTCTTGTAATCGGCAAATTCCTCACCCGGACCCACAGCTGATGGTATTGTCGCCAGACATGTCAGTTCAATTTTACCATTTGGCAAGACATGATCTTCAGTCAATTCAATATTTAGTTGACTAACTGAAAACATGCCTTTCTCCTGTTGAGCCTCGGTAACGGCTGCCGCAGCAGCTGCAACACCACTACCACCACCAGGATGTGACAATGGCCTACTACCGTACGTGGCAGCAAATGCATTCATCGGACCGGCATTTGGTGGAATTCCCAATTCATTGTTGAGATTGGGTGGTTGTGGACCAAAACCGCCGCTATTCAAAGTGTTGCGTATAATACCCAGTGGATTTTCGTGAACGTGACGATATTTGCGAGAACTTCGACTGCAATGAAAATAAAGAAAGAAATGGGAAAATGAATTGTATTAAGCAGTGACAGAAAAACGAGTGTTAAAATGAAATGTAACCAGTGAGCGGAGCAGTATAGTCGGACGGGGCCGACCATGCGATACCCTACACAACTACCACGAACTCTAACTTTCTGAGGATGTTTATTCCGAGTCTGATTAATATTTCGTGATATTTGCCCCCTAGGTTAACAACACCTCTTCCTTACTTTTTTCGAATATTCAGTACAATCCTTCTATTTAATTGTCCAGATTACCTTCACGGTGGGTTGTGTTGTGAATTTCGGATTATACTCTACTCGAAAACACACAAAAAATTATGTTTTCGGTCCATTTCATCCCAAAATTTTAATCTGATCATCACCGAAAATTGTAGGCGTTGTTCTTGACCATAACTGGAACTTCATGAAAAATTTCAAAGCCATCAGCGCGATATTTCTCCCTCTAATGTGGTAATGGGTTACTAAATAATATCTGAATACGTAAGCATCTGTAAATATTTGACTGTAACTCCCACATCTGAGTAGACACATCACTATATTTGGTATCAATTTAAAGGCCAACCACTCCTCTTGGATATGCTATTAACTCCTGGGGTCTACATCCTCCAGGAGTAAATATATATGCCATAGAATACAAATTTTGTCATTTTTCACACAAAAGTCAGGGTCCATTTGACCCGCTAAATATTGACCGATCTTTATCAAAACATGCATGCTTATTCTCTGGCCCGATCCACTTCTCCATGCAAAAATTCGCGGTGTTTGGGCCATAATTGCGGCCTCTGGAGCGACCAGAAAAACCGACAAAAATTTAGTATTTGGTCCATTTCATCCCCTAAATATTAACCGATCTTTTCCAAAAACAATAGGGGTATATTGGCCAGAACCCATCCTACATGCAAAATTTCGTGAAGATTGGTCCATAACTGTGGCCTGTATCGTGTTTACAAATTATAATGGACAGACGGACGGACACACATGTCTAGATCGACTCAGCTAGTCGAGATATGACGATCGGTATACTTAAAGGTGTGTCTAGGACCAATATTTCGCGGTGTTACAAACATTTGGGGCTGCACAAAGCTATAATACCCTGACAACATAGTTGTGTAGGGTATAAATATTTATACAAGGATAATTAAGGGTGAACAACCGTCCATCTGTCTTTCGATGTGTTTTTTGGTATGATTACCAGATGCTGATGAAATTTGGTAAAAGTCTCTTAATTGGTCTAAGGACGAACTATTAAAATTGGTGAGAATAGGTTCAGATTTTGATATAGCTCACATATATATTTTCGTCCTTTTTCGGGTGATTGTTTAATCACAAGCTTACAATTTTCCGATCAATACGAAAATCTGGATAGAATTATAAACTGGTTAACCGCAGCTTAGTCATGTATAATTGATGACTATATTACACATATACCCATCAGCTGTGTCACTTATACATACACCTACCACATGTAGACTACCTATAATTAAAGAACATAAACTGAATATTACAAATGAATGAATTGACAGGTTTTTTTTTTGTTCGTTTTCCATCCACAAAAGTGCCACTGGCGATATTTTAACTACCGCGATAATGGTTTCGATAACAACAAGTGTATAAATAAACAAACATAACTGCAAAAATATTTTTAATATTTGCATTTTGTGATTGATGGGTCGTCGGCGGGACGGACGGAAGTTTTGGCAGAATATTTAAACATTTTATGGTCTTCTTTTGCCAGTATGTCATAAAATAAATAAATGAAACGAAAAAACGCAATTGCATTCGGGCTACAATTTTATTACATTTTCCGCAAATACACACATACTCAAAAACATATGTAGGTGTGTGTGTGTGTTTGGATGCGCAAAAAAATTGCCATAATGCATGCGAACCAGCAAAAGGTGTCGTTACTCGAGAGTAAACAATGCCATACACCAGAAAAAATAAAAATTTGCCATGTATCCATAGTTACGTGAAAAGTATGGTGCGCCCATCCAGACGGTGCTGTTAAATATATATTTTTTTGTTAAAAGATAGCTGTGCTATTTTATGGTGCATCCATAAAATAAAATCGCATTCAACGCAAAAAATAAATAGTTAAAAGATATACTCTCCGAGGGTAATGGTCGTTGTTGGCCAAATTGCACATTTATGGCATGGCATTGACACATTTAGCCATGGGGTCACACACTATCTGTGTTTTTACAGTTCAAAAGTCACAATATTAAGTTACAGATTAATAAAACAAATATGAAATATGGTGTTATATATGAAAACTTTAAATGGATGACGGGATTTGTTTAATGGAAAATAAATAAAGGTGAATTATTTAAGGGTGAATAATACCAACCGTGCTGGCTACTATCTCAAGCAAATGAGACAGCTCTTGGAGTGTTTGAGTGAAAATGTCTCCGAAAGATCTATGGGCGATCTGCGTCGACGGTGAATATCGCCGTCGAATGAACCATGAGGTGTACTATTTATTTTCAGATATCAACATAGTAAGAAGTATCGAGCTCCCACGACTAGGTCATGTTGTGAGAATGGGTGAGGATGTCCCAGCTCTAAAGGGATATAAAAGCGAGCCAACTGATGGATCACGTACAGGGGGAAGGTCACGATTTCGATAGATACATCAAGTGGAAGAGAAGAGAACAGTGCATGGTCTTTGGAATTAGAAAAACTGCACACAAGATCGTGTATTAACACTAGATTGCCGAAAGCGATCATTTTGACGGTTTTTCAATTTCAAGTACAAAAACAATTGTGTATATTATGACACAGCTTTTTAAAATTTGGTAACTTTTTGCACCACATAGAACTACGTTCATTAATCATAGTAGCTGCTTTCTCCCCTCTTTCATTCCCCGTATTCACATGTGCTATACCTATACGGCCTAAAATCGGTCATATTGACCTCTTGTGAAATATTAAATAATCAAACAAACTTATATGACCAGATCAGTACAACAAAATCGAAACCCGTTTGCTACTCTAGAAACACAAAGGAACACACAAATCAGGAAAAATATTTTTTTATTTCCAGTCGATTTCACTCATAGAGTATAGACTTCCTGTTTTTTGAACATTTTGTCCGCGTTCTTATTTTTCAAAAAGGGAAACTCGGGAGATCTCTCACCGAAAACAAATAATAACAAAGTTGTGTATGATTGTAAATAATGCAAAAAATATTAAAAAATAAGTTTAAAACAATTTCTTTACAAAATAAAAATTCTTTCAGAATGAGGTCATTTTGACCGATTTTAGGCAATATAGGTATATACAAAATTCCAGTCTTTCTAGTGTTAAGAATGATATGTATTAAGTGAAACTTAAATGGGGCCAAAAAAAATTAAATGTAGCTGTCATGAATTTTGTCGTCCGATTTTATGTAAATGGAGCTGAAGACAAAAAATTTCGAAGCAAATGGTCATCTACCATTGACTATATGAGCTCAAATTGAAATCAAAGTCATGATTCGATTGTCACAATAGTTGGGCATATATGTCCAGCAATTTTAATAAAAGGAAAGTAGTAAAGCCTAACAATAAAAATAAAAATATAAAATATTTTTTTTTCAAATGAAATATGAGTATTGAGACAGACCAATAAAAAAACAAGTAAGGAAAGCAGTAAAGTCGGACGGGGCCGACTATATGACACCCTTCACCACTATGGGTATAGTATTAAAAAAATGCATCCTAACAGAAGGGCCATTAACATGAAATTGGATGAACTAAAATATGTGACCTTTATCTAAATGTGAATCGACTTGGATCACTCCATAAACATGTTTTTCGTTTGTTAGTGTCCCATTGTAACAAACGAATGACATGTTTATGGATTATGTAAATCAATTTAAAGCAAACATCAATCGGGAACCCGATGAATATTTGGAGCCCAATTAACACGAAATCGGTCAGAAATCTATATGGGTTACATCTGTACTTCTACACGCAATTACGTCATTCTATTCTGAAAAACATGAAGAGTTTGGTGCAACATTTACTTAAAATCGGATAAATAGAGATATGGAAGCTATATCCAAATATGAACGGATTTCAACGAAAATTGTCACAGGTTAAGTTAGACTAATTTATGCACGTTTTGTCCTTATGGTCATATTTTGGGTCCTTGGGTCCTACTTAAAATCGGACGACACTATATGGAAGCTATATCTAAATCTGGACGGATTCCAATAAAACATGATAAAACATGGCTATACTATTGTAAATACGTTGTGCAAAATTTTGTGCCAGTCTGCCTAACTTTGAGTCTATATCTAAATCCGATTTCAGCAGACTTGACACATGTTATGTTGTAAAAACTTTAGTACGTTGTGCAAAATTGTGTGACAATCGGCCTAACTTTGGGTTTTAAAAACGGACAATTTTGAGGAGACTTTACACACATCATTCTAGACACAATCCAGTACGCTATGTCAAATTAAAATAAAATCGGGCGTAAGTATGAGGGAGCAATATCTAAATCTGAACCGATTTAAACGAAACTTAACACACATCATTCTAGACTCAATTCAGTACGTTATGCCATATTTCGTCCAAATCGAATACATTTTGACTTTGGTGCACCATTTGTATTAAATCGGTCGAAAATATATATGGGAGCTATATCTAAATATGAACCGATTTTCAAGAAAATCAACACAAATCATGCTAGATTCAATTCAGTGCGCTATGTCAAATTTCGTGGAAATCTAAAGAAATATAGGGAGTTTGGTACACCATATACAATAAATCGGTCGAACATATACGTGGGAGCTATATCTAAATCTTAACCGATTTTCAAGAAATTTTATACACCTCATTCTAGACTCAATTCAGTAAGCTGTGCTAAATTTCGTGCAAATCGGAAGATATATGGGGACTTTGGCACACCATTTACATTAAATGGGACGATAATATATATGGGAGTTATATCTAAATCTGAAACGATTTTTCCCAATTTCAATAGTGTT